CCGTGTAGAGGAACTCCAAGAACATGAGGAAGATCGGGTAGTGCAGGTCGAGTGGGATCTTCTCTGCTGTGCTTTCCCTCATACCTGCTCGAGTTCATCGTTAACACCTACTAGGACGCGCAACAATACGACACACGAGCAAGAACGCGCACCAGAAAGGAACATGGCCTGGAACTGAGGGCAGCGGGAGGTGATGACCACCTTGTGGCACGGCACGTCGCGTCCTTCCACCTCGAAGATCACGTCCGAGAACAAGGGCGAGCCGAGCGCGTTCTGCCTCAGGTCGTCTCCCAGCGATGACGCCACCTTCATCACGTTACACGCACATTTGCGCACACGGTCATGCATGTTCAATTCACACTGTCGCGGTGGGGCTGTGCCTCACGTACCTTGCCCTTCTGGATGAGACAGGCGAGCGTGCGCTTGTAGGACTGCGGAATGTACGCCTTGACGAGCGACAGCAGCTGCTGGGCACGGTGCGGGCACTGCAATAGCAAAGTTAGGGTGGCTGTCCTCGTGAGTGTGTAGGGGAGGGTGGTTACACTAACCGACGTCAAGTGGTCGGTGTAGCACAGCTCCATGAGCACTTGGAAGAGCTCTCGCGGGATGTCATTGATGTCGATCGTGAGGCCCTCCTCATCGCGTCCCTGTAGCAGGTCTCTGAACTTCTGGCTTCGCGAGGCGAGCACGATCTTGTGAGCCTTGATCAGCGCGTTGTCCTCGTTCGGGAAGCGGAACGTCACATCCGCGAAGTCGTTGGTGATGAACGCGTTCTTCATGTCCGACTCGAGCGTCGTACGCGTGCCCGTCTCCATCACGCGCACGGTGGTGTTGTACTTCTCGAAGAAGTAACCGCCATAGCAGTAGAGGCTCGACCCGACCAGCGTCAGGTTGTGTCCGCTGAAATTGGCCATCGTCCACTTGGACCTCTGCCCGCCGATCTTCAGCTGCATAGGCGCACCGTCATCGTCAGCCAGAGATGGCCAGGCAAAGACAGAGGTGGGAGAAGCGTGCCTTGACGGCCGACCAGGTAAAGTTCTCAGTGTCGAGAATGTTGAGATCGTCCAACCCCGAATCGAACATCCCTCCAGCCAGGTAGAAGAGCTTATTGCCGACGAGCGCCGAAGCGTGGCCACTGCAGGCGCGGGGCTGGCCAACCACCGACTGCTTGTAGAACCTACGCCGATGTCGCAAATGTGTGTAAGAACAACCAACAACAAAGAGGGCGGTGTGTGGTAGTACCTCATCACGCCCGGGTCGAGAATGTGGAGGTCGTTGTAAGCGCTCGCGCCAGTTCCTCCAAAGATGAATATCTTGGTGCGGACCTGGTTGCCCGTGTGCCAGGCCCGAGCAGGCGGGATGTCGCCAGACGGGTTCTGCTTGCGCCATTCCAGCGTCTCTGTAAGGAGAATCGGGTCAGCCACACTCGAGCGGTTCCGCTGTGCACTAAGAAGGGTGAAGCGCACGAGTGTCGAACACGTAGAGTTGGTCGTGGTAGGTTTGGCCGTCGTAGCCGCCGAACACGAAGATCTGTGAGCCAAAGAGCGTTGCCGAATGGCCGCTGAGCGGCTCGGGGATATCGCCTTTGGCCTCCACAGCCGACCATTGCATCGTGACTGCCAAAAAGGAACACAGTGGGTCATCATGTCTGCGTGCGTGCGTGCGAGATCGGTGGAGATAACGTACGCGCATCGAAGATGAACAGATCATTGAAGTAATGGGAGTCGTTGCTGCCACCAAACAGGTAGAGCTTGCTGCCCACCAGCGTTGCCGAATGGAAAGAACGGGAAGCCGGCGCGTCGCCCTTCACGGTCGGCCGGTACCACATCATGGCATCTGCGATTCGACAAGTGTCAGTTCCTCAAGTGGTACATCGGGGGCGTGAGGAGCCGTGGAGAGAATGCGCACCAGTGTCGAGCACCACTACATCGACACGCTCCTCCTTTTCTGATGAGCCGCCGATGATGAACAACTTGGCACCCACCTTGGTCGCCGAGTGTCCGTGTCGCGGTCCAGGGTGCAGGCCAGTAATGCGCGGAGTCCTCCACATCAGCTTCAAGTCTGTCCATGTGGCGATATGCAGGTCATCAAGCACCCGGTGAGTGCGCGAGATGCGTGACAGACAAGCGATGGCGCAGTACCTTCGTTGGTCCTCGAGAAAGGAATAGCGCCAATGCTGTTCTTCGCGTTCACGTCAGCACCAGCCTCGACCAAGAGACCTGCGCAGTCAATTCGGCCAAAGAAGGAAGCCTGGTGCAAGGGCGTGTTGCCCATCGAATCTCTGTTTTTTTCCCACAGAAGAAGCGCGTAAGCTGTTGGTGCTAGGCGTATATCTATTACAAGAGGGTGGTTGGTACTTGGCGTCGATTACAGCTCCGCTATCAAGCAGGACTCTGACGCATTCTGTGTGCCCTCGAACGGCCGCGCGGTGAAGGGGAGTCTCGCCGGACCTCCTGTCCAGGGACATGAGGTTAGGGTGAACCACACGAGTAGGCACACGACACCGATGACGCAGGATTGCCATGGTACGACTCTCGTACCGGGAGCACCAGGAAACCTGGCAGCCTTTGCTAATGAGTAGCTTGAGCATGTCGACATGCCCGTAGAAGGCTGCGAGATGCAGCGCCGACATGTCATCATGTCGTTCATTTACATCGTCGCCTAGACAGGTGGTCCAGCGACAAGCCACCCCACCCCACTCATTAGCAATAGAAA